TGTGGTACATTCTGTTAAAGAGGCTACATCCAGTTCTTTTACCTTCCTTATTTTTAAACCAAATTTTTCCTCATGTTTCTGAAGGTACAATTAAAAAGATTGTTTACATGTGCTAAAGGTAAAATACAGCAAACTGTATTTTCTGTCCTTAAAGTATCATAAAAAGTTATTTCAGAGCTTATTTAATTCACTGCTTAGTTTTCTCTTAAAAAGATAAAATAAAGAAAAAGAAGTTGTCATCTGATAATCTAGAGATTATATGCAAGGACATTTGATTACAGAGTAATACATAAATCCTCTGGCCAGTAAGTAGGTGGTTAGTAAAGAAACCACATCTCCTGCAGCAGAAATGCTCTGTAAAGAATTGTGAGAATAAAATCTCACTAAAACCAAAATTAATTTTGCAGTGAGTGTTATCCCCCTGCAGACGAGTATATGCCCTGTGGCCACAGCTTCCTTGAGACAAGAAGCCAAAAGTGTTACACTCATCTCACTGTTGCTTTTACCCTTATCTAGGAGTAAATTACCACAATTTATATTGACTTACATTTTTGGAAATTATCCCAAGTTTTTGCAAAAATTTTCATTGATATATCTGTTTCTGTATAGTACGCACATATAAAGAGTGTGTACTATATAATCAAGTTGCCAGCCCAAATGCTTTTCAGTTAAAAAAGGTTCCTTATCAGTTAGTATTTGCTGGATGTTGGAAATGGCAACATCTTACACGTGTACATGTTGATGCAGTGTCCCGGCCTCCATGGGTAAAACTGTCAGTGACAAATTCTGCAATTGCATTCTGAAGGTTGTGGTACCAAGCATGTTAGCATACCACTTACCGTCCCTAGACTCATGAAGAAGCATTTCCATTGGGAACTCTACCTTTATCTACTTGGTCTGTGCTTGTTATTCAGTTTAGACCCAGAAGAGTATGACTGAAACCCAGTGGCATTGATTTGCTGTCTTTGACAGTGCCTCAGGCCATACAAAGCAATGCTGCAAACCAAAGAGATAAATTAAAAACGGGAGGGTTTATGTTTAGATTCTCAGGGCTCCAAAAGTAGAAGAAAAAATATTCAAACAAATACATCCAAATCAGTTTTGTTAATATACTTTTGCTGGATTAAAAACTGGAGGGTGTTGACAATCTGTGGATAAAATGGTAATACAGGAAAAACACAAAAATACTTGGAACACTTCCAAGTAAAATCTTATCATTCTCTTTGAAAAGCATATTCAGGCACGTTCTCTCCACTCTTCTTAGAAAAAGGCAAACAACTCTCCCCTCCAAAAATATAAAAAACCCAAACAAAATCAAACAACATAAACCAGCTCCATTTTTCTGAGCCAAGAAAAAAGCTCATAAAGGTGAAGAGCACTTCTCATGGGATATAAAACGTGAATTGTATTTGGAAAATAAATTTTAGATTATATTTTTGGCATTCGTAGCCCATCTACCAACAACAGATGTTCTGTCCTGAAAGTGATGCAATTTTGACAGCAGTACAGCAATTCCTTAAATAAATTACTGGGCTATTGTCAAAGTGGTGGAGATAATTAATTTTTTTTTAGCAAAAGTGATTTCACTCTTTAACCAATTAATTAAAAATTTGCATTCATTTTCTTCCAGTTGTGAGGTCAGTGCTAAAGCTGATTTGTTTTGGGTTTTAATCTTTCCTGTTTCTATATTGTTGCTGTCATTTAAGTCACTGTTCCTACTGCGAGACTTTATTTTTAGATGACAATGTAGAATGAAATCCTGCCCCCATTACAGTCAATAAATTTCCATTTGACTTCAGTTGGGTAGAAATTTCATTCCTGGAAGCACTCCCATGCTTCCCCAGGCCTACAGAAAGGTGAGAGGGAAATGGAGCAGAAACATTGTGAGGTGGCAAGACCTCTTCATGGACATCCTGTGGCCTCTGTGAACTTCATCCCTTTAACCTGAAATCTCTGCAACAGGTTTAGTAGGCAGGACTGTGAGGAAAAAGAAGAGGAAGTAAGGAATGGACATTCCTCACTATGGACATACCTATTGATCTCATTCCTGGGGAAATCTGTCACAAGCTGCCTTCATTCCCTTGCTTGTGACCTGCCTGTGATTCCGCATTAGTGGGCAACCCAATGGGTTTCTGTTGCAAAGGAATTAAACCATCAGAGAGAAGCACAAGGAGGGATGAGCCCACTGGGAGAGACTTGGTTTGACTGGAAAAATCAAGCTGTGGATTTTGACAGATAATTTGCATCATCTGTAATATAAAATTCATCAGAGAAAATTTGGAAGTGGTGTTGGCTTTATCATGCTTTTATATCAAGACAGCCTACTACCACGTTATTTCAGATATGAATCACACTTCATTTGTAGTGGAAAGCCCTTTTCTTTCATTTAATATTTTTTTGTAGATTAAGTTTTCAAAATCTGGTTTCATTCTCCAGAAAGAGCCTGGAGAATTTTCTCTGAGACAGTATAAGGGGCATTTCTTCATGCCAAATATTGGTGTTCTCAGAGCAGGGACTGGGACAGGGCTGAAAAGATTGTGCAGTTTGTTTTTGTGAATTTGGTTAATGAAGGAAGGTGATGTATGAGCAGACTTTATGTCACATGTTGACCATGCCTAAATCAGCCCACATGTTTCAAACTTGTTTCTGGAGTCATATAAAAGTTGCCTAGTCACTTGACCCTTTCCTGATGGAAGTATCAGCAGTAAAACTGCTGGCTTGAGTTCTGAACCTAACTGTATCCCCTGAACTCCAGATAAGTTAATGAAGCTGCAGAAGGAACCAGATAAAAGAAACAGAATTTCCCCACAGGCTTTAGTGCATGTCATCCTAGGGTGTTCATACAACTCTAACAGAAGACAAACAAGTGAAAACTTTCTTCCAAACCTCTTCTTATGTTTCTGTAGAGTCATGGTAACTTGAAGAATTACATTCTTGTAGAGTCAGTATCACCTAATTTCCTGAAAAATAGGGGGTTTATCTCAAAACCTGTTATAAGTAGGCAGTCTTGCAACATGCACTTTCCCTGTGAATCTGATAACCTACAGCAAAATCTAATAGTTGGGTACACTAAGACAAATTCAGTGTCTGATTCCGAGTCATTTAAATACTGCGGAGCTTGGCCTGTTATATTAATTTATGGAACTCCTTCTAGCACGTCTGAATTGTAAATAAATTTTCATTTTTATTTACATACAGAGCACAGGAGTAGCAAATTGGCCCAGGTCAGTTTTCATCAGCAGGTCCAACAGCGATTAATGGGGAATTACGGTGATATTGCAGCTAACTTGGTTGGAAAGGTGATTGAAATGGCCTGCTTGAGAAGATTTTGCATTCTAGAAAATGCAATCTAGCTACTAGAAAATACATAATGGTGGTCTTTTTCTGTGGAATGCATATGCCTTGCCTTGCACTTTGCAGAGATGGGAGTAGGTGATTCAGTGTACTGCACTCTGCTTTTTACCATATAACACCAATACAGAATGGTGAAAAGCAGAGGACAATAAATCTCTTTTGTGTTCCAGCTCTACAGAGATCTGTAATATATGAAATTATATATGCTAGTTCTCTTTTGTCAGTGGATGTATTATCATCTATAGCTTGGATGCAACTCACACAGAAACTCTGTGTCAACTTATTATTTACAGTTGGAATCCCAGCTCTTGCCACACAGAAAACCAACATCACGCTGGTACTCTCCAGTAGTGCAAAGGATTCCTGCTAGCTCTCTGCAGACAAGGTCATTATTTTCTTATGCCTCTATAGCTCCTCCATAGCATCAGACACAACGTACTAGAAAAAGGGGACAGTACTTTGAACGAGAGCTCCAAATACTAACTGAAAAAAAGTCAGACATGAATTTAAAAAAACTTTCATGTGAAGTTCTGTACTGATATTTTCCCAAGGTAACTCTACCATTCTAGTGGGACATGAAAAAACTGGTAGTTCAACCCTCATTTTCCCGGCCAAGGTGATGCCTTGTATAATAACAGCCATGACCAAAACCAAAAAAATCAGAACAAGTGGAAAGATACTTCAATGCCACTCATACCAGTCCATTAATTATGGTTTGATCCAGAGAGTCTATAGACTGATCTAACCTGAAATTGGGGTAACTTGGTACACATGTGCAGCTGGAAACAGGTCTTCAGTGGTACACACAACAGCAACAAGCACTGCTTTAAAATTGGAAATCTTGGGTTTCTAAGTTTAAGTAACAGATTTTTACAAATCACAATTTTTCTTCATTATATCTTAACTGACAGTTAAATTGTTCCTCCTTGGATATAGGACAAACTTCCTTTTAGACTGAAGGACAGAATACATTATTACTACTACAGTCCTGTAACACAGTTCTTTTTTTGGAACCGATAAGTGTTTTGTGAAAGAAACAAACAAAGAAAGAAAGACTTACTAATAACGTTCTCTTTGTGATTATAGTAGCAACTAAGAAATACTGGTTTTGGTGAATATATGCCAGTCTTAAAAAGGACAGTGGTCTTCTCCACTTTGTCCTGTTTTCAGCAAATGTATGCTGAGATAGCCTAAAACATGCTCAAAGTTATAGCAATACATTATTCTGTTTAGATGCTCATCAGTCACAAGAAGAGATGAAGATGAGTAAGAGTATTGCCTTTTCTAGAATTCATCTAGCATATGAAAAAAGACCTTTAGACCAATTAGTTTGTACACTGCTGCTTAAAGATAATCTCTTTCCACTATGTATAATGCACCTTTGGAACAAGCTGCAGGTGACCAAAGATCCTGGGGACTTTGGGGTCCATTTTGGCTGTGTTACACATAGATCTGTGAGCAGCTCCAAGCTGCGTGCTCTCTTCTTGTGATCCCTCAAGAGAGGAATCTGTATCCACAATGCATTTTCTTAGCTGGTTTGTCATGAGTTCAGCACTCCTGCCACAGGCCTTTCAGGAAGGTCCCTTGTATTTTGTCATAGCAAACTTGCACATTTAAAATCTCGTGTTCCTCTTGCCGCACGTCACTCATACAAACGGTGTCATCACTGCTGAAGAGTGACGCAGTCCTTGGATAGCTGCATAAGGACCCTGCTGAAAATAATGGTGGTACCTTGGCATGTGGAAGGATGGGAAAGTGGGGCCGCTACCTTGCATGGAGCTGGCTATAGCAGAGGGTGTAAGAGGCATTCCCAGGCGGCTGTAGGGAGGCAGAGATCCTTGGATCGGGTGAGGAATGGGTGTAGCTATGGATGCAGTGCTGGTACCCAGGGCACTCAAAGACTGTGGATGCTGAAATCCTGGGAAACTGGTTGAAGAGGAAACCCAGGAACTGAGGGACAGGTTATCAGATGTTGTGAAGGCTGACCCTGCAAGCAAAGAGAAAGAATACCTAACATTGGCACACAAAGCTGGTAAAGTAGCGAAAAGGGAGGAAATGAGTCCTTCACAGCAAGCCAGGTTTCAATGACCAATTGTCATTGGAAATACTTCCCATATACTTCAGTCTTTAAAATGTTATTTGCTGGTTGCTGTCCTTTATCACTACGTCTTAGACAAATTTCCATTTTCAGAAGCTGGTTGCAGTGGTTTCAACAGTAAAATCAGCTTTGCACATTGAACATTTTAGATATTAAACACTGAAGCACCTTGTAATGCTGTGCTAAACTGAAATATCTCCTCTCACAGGGAAGTTCACTGTATTACATCCCTGTTTTGAAGAAGTTCTTGTAGATTTTTACATCAGATCCTTAGTAGAACTGTTGTTTTGGTGTTTTTTCCCAAAATTTCAGTGTGGCAAAAATGCAGAAAAATGTAATTGGCTCTACACGTTTTCCCTTTTTTTAAAACCCAGTAAAACCTGTCATTACTACATCTTTCCAGTCAACCTGATTCTTTCCAGAATATAGAGCAAGAAATCCTAAAACATAAATGTCAAAGTATTTGTTGTTTTTCCCACTGTGTATAGTACTCTAATAAAGAGCACCAGTGCTAATTCATAGTAAGAGGTGCAGAACTTGCTCTGAAGGTAATTATCTACTTTTGATCAAATGTTAGTGTTGTGTTTGTCATTTTGTGTTGGGTTTGGACTTTAATTTGAAAAGTTTCAAAACCTATTTCCACAAATCTGCCAACTCTTTAAAATACTTTCCGTTTCCTGAAGGTTGAAGAATCATTAAAAAAAAAAGAAAAATTATTTCTTAAAATTAGAACTAATTACATATGTTGACAGTAAAATTTTGGAGAAACAATAATTTGTTTGGATAACTACACATGGTCATTTTCAAATAATTTGATGACTGTGTTGTCCTTCATCTCTGTAGTTCCTATATGCATCTGGTCATCATCATATGTCTGATTTCTAGAAATGGGAACTACAACAAAATGCTATAAATAAACTCATTTGCTCTTTAAATTATAATTTACCTCTTGTCTCTTATGTATTTTCTTACTTGACCAGCTTTCTTACTTTAGAAAATAAATTCATCGGAAAGAGGATTTGATAAAATATAATTTCTATTCAGTATTGCAAAACATTCTGAGACAACAAATTTTGTAACAGGTGCTAGTTTCATAAATCTAATAAATCTAATTCAAGAAGAGAGGTTCATCCAAACTCTAGAATGAAAACATATGAAGACATTTATCCATCAAGGAAAACTTACTGGAATTCAGTAAAGTAACCAATCATAGCCACATACTCAAACCAAGCTATAAGCAAAAAAACAACAGAAATAAAAAGTGTATATTGTTGGGGTTTTAAAAAAAAATCATAAATCTCTTACGGGATATATCCTCAAGCCATGAATTATTTTTCCTCTGCTTAAGGAAACAAGTAAAACAGCCCAGTAACAGGAAAAATAAATTGTGCCAAATTAGCAGTGGAGATAAACTTGAACCAAATCCTGGTCCTACCGCTGAATCAAATCCTAACTGCTGGGAAATTAGGATCCAGAGCCAAACTCTAAATATGACACATTACTCACAGACCACAGCAAAACCCTTGAAAAATCAGAGGGTATCTGAGCATTGCTGCACTACAGGGAAAGCAGGGTGCAAATGTGGATTTGCCCAGAAGGTTTTCATTTGTCTCTCTTTCCAGGTGGCTACTATGAATCCTGTGGATGTCTGTGGATGTAGGCACAGAGAAATTATGCATTAAAGAGTTTCCATTGAATTTATATATTTCCTATTAGTTAGTTCCTTTGGAATTAGACATCTTGTACGGTAGGTTAGCTGCTTCCATCTTTGGATGGCTGAAATTTGCTGAGCAGAGAATGCTCTGGGAGGGTGCCTAGGTAATTACCAAGTCTATCACTGATATTTAATTATTTGTTTTATGCAGAATAAGGTATGTGATTCTTTCTTATGAATGACTGTGAAATGATTGTAGGGCTGGAACATTTCTCCTATAAGGAAAGGCTTAGAGAATTGGGCTTGTGAAGTCTTGAGAAGAGCAGACTTTTGGGACACCTAATTGCAGCCTGTCAGTGCTTAAAGCAGGCCTATGAGAAAGCTGGGAACAAATCTTTTTCCATGATCTGTCACAAGAAAGGGCTTTAAAGTAAAAGTGGATAGATTTAGACTAGATATAGGAAAGAAATTTTTTACTGTGAGGGTGGTGAAACACCGGTTGGTGAAACAAAGGGTGCCCAGAGAGGGGCTGGATGTCCCATTCCATGAAATATGCAAGGTCAAGTTGGATGGGGCTCCTGATCTAGTTGAAGATGTCCCTACTCACTGAATGGGGGCTGCACTACATGACCTTTAACAGTCCCTTCCAACACTAACTGGATGATTTAGTCCAATGATTTTCACAAGGAACTTCCTCAAGCATCCTTTCCTGCTCCAGCTGATTTGGTCTCTAATTGCAGCTTAGTACTCCACATACCACTTTTGCCACCACCAAGGGAATTAGTACTTCTGAGGCAATCAAGGTCTCAAAGAGCTTATAACACACACCACCCAGCAATGCATATGTACTTGGCTCTCAACTCTTATTTTTGTGGGGGAACATCCATCAGTTTTGCATGCAAGGTAATTTTAAAATTCATTGGCAGAAATGAAAATATCTATGGCATTCCAATAAGAACATTGTTTCTCTCCTTGTATCTTGGAGGAGTTTTCCTTATTTAAGGACACTAGACCTAAAGAGAGAGCAAAGGCAGTACCAGTTGCTCATGTGTAAAAGCAGTAAGATTTACCTTCTGTGCATGTCTCTGGTTGCCCAGAACGCTCACGTCCATGTAGCATATGGCTCCCAGATTAGAAAAAAGTTCTTTGCCATGATTCACAATTTTCCTCACTTACTCATTTGCCATATTGCGAGCAAATGCAGAACTGTACCCTTTTATTACACAGAAAATTAATTGTCATAAAGTAGAATATCCCCCATGACACCTTTCTAAGGACTCTCTTCTGAAGAGATTTAATGGCCAGCTCTCATACTGAGGTTCACCTGATTCATTTTGTCACTCCCAAGGGAGGACATCATACTAGGGAGAAATTTAATTCTTGAAGAGAAGGTGCTTTGCTCTGAGCACTTCCAGCAATGGAAAATTTAATACTGTCTTCAACAACAGCTGGCCTAGGATCTAAGGTGACATGAAGCAAGGTAATTCCCCAGAACTGTGCGAAAGGATGGCATCATAGCAGGTGAACTTGCTTGAGAAACTCCATAATCTAAGGACCTGCTCTTAGAATAGATGTGTAAAAACAAGCCCACCTAATCACATTTTGCTGAAGAGCAAGTCATGGTTAAAAATAAGTGTGTTTTCCCTGCACAAGTCCACAGAGCTCATGACCAGAAAGAATGCTGTTATCTTAGCAGCACTGTATGAAGTTAGAGGACAAGACAAGGGCACTGCCAGTCGGAAGACAGATAGAACTGCTTTACCTCAAGTGGCTGTGGCATATCAGGCAGGTCACAAAGTCAACGTGCAAACTATAATGCAAGACAAGTTTTTGCCAGTCAGCAATCCTACAGGAAGGGTTTGAGATCTATTTCCAGTGGTTAATTGTGACAGATGCAATTTCTCCAGTAAGTATCCTCACAAAGATCAAGTCTGTCTTGTTACTACTTTTGCTACTGCTAATGTAGACAAGGTGTTTGATAAAGCATTTAGGGCTAATTGCTTCAGCAGGAACAGCACCTTTAAGAGACTAACAGATAACAATTAAACATCAATTTTTCAGGGAGCTACCAAATTTTCTTCCTGAGTAAGCAAAGCAGGTTAACCACAAGTGGGTTGAAGATGGTTAGGACTAAGTCCTCTGTTCACAGGAGGCTGGAGGGGCAGCAAGTGGCACATCAACATGGTGCTTTACAAGTGGTGTGGAGCCCAGCTAGTAAGTTCTGCCAAGAGATGGAGAGTGTTAACTTGTTCTCAGCAATGAAGTAGTTCTCAGTAATGAAGTTTTCTAGTTTGCAGATATCTTGAAGAGGAAGCAGAACTAATTCTCTCCTGATGGCAAGGATTATATGGTTGTCTCTAGAATGGCCTCCTGAATTGAACCACCCACACCAGTGCTGTGGGCACATCAGATGTCCCAAAGAGGCAAAAGTTCATTATATGACTGCATGGCAGAGAGACACACCAGAGAAATGCTTTAGAGTACCACGGTACTGCCCGTGGTCCTGCTTTTCTCAAGCATAACTGAGTCACCCCAGTTTACATCATGAACACAGTTTCCTACCTCTGCTTTGTGTTGCCTGGCTGTCATCTCCAAGATCATCTTCTCCTCCATAGGTCCGAATCGGGGATCGAGCATAGGAATGCTTTTGGATAAGACTCTCCACACTTTCCCTGTAAAAGGAAGCAACCTAATGTATCAATACCATCCCAAACAGCAAACTGTTTTGTTCAGGTAAATACAATGCCTTTTTCTGTCCAGATCAGAGCTTTCTCACACAGGCTCTCCAAAGTTACTTAACAAAAGACTTACCTCATAGCATGACATTGGAAAAGCCAGATTTGGCCTGCATTTTTTTCATATTGCAGATCACCACTTACCAGTTTCTTCAGCAGAGTGAACTTCCTACTGTGCTTCCTGGATGTGGTCTCAGACAGTGACTATCAGACCAGCACTCTTCATAAATTTGAAAATGCAAACTCTGCAGTTATTTGTGCTGAGTGATGAGTCTGGGTTCAAAGAGACACCTGTGGTCCAGCTCCTTTCAAACAAGCTTTTGCATCACACATGACCACCTCATTTTCTGCTTTCCCCTTGTCCTGAAAGCAGGGGCAAAGATAGGTGTGTCCAGAGACAACTCAGCTCTGACTATGCTCTCAGCATCACAGTGGAGGGCAGTTTGTAGCAGGAAGTCTGCAGATACTACTGATCTCGTGCCACATCTATTCTGGGAGGTTAGACGTGTCTGCCAGGCCCCTGCCTTGCTGGTAGCACAAATCACTGAAGTCACCCAAACCATTTTTAAATAGAAGGAAGGCGTATCTGCATGATAAGCCTTAGTAGTTTGTAAGGAAGATCCAACCTTACACATACCAAGCGCATTTCCATGTAAGTAGGTGGCATTATACCAAAGATGAAAATGACCTGGGCACATTTCCAAAATGACTTTGACCTTCTGTTCCTGTTTAAGAAATCTAAGTAGCAATAGTTGTTTAAATTTGCTACTTGATGAATGTTTTGTCTGAATTTACCATTTGTCCATTCATACTTGCTAATGCCCTTTGCTTAGAGAGTGCTCCTGTTTCAGAAATTCCAAGGAAAAATATTTTTCGAGTAACATGATAAATCACAGTGGCACATGTTTTCCTTTCCTACAGAAAGTCCATTATGGTCATTTTGTCCTTGGTCTATCACTGGCATCATTACTTATGCTAGTCTCCTCAGAAAAAAATAAATAAAAAGAGGATCTTATCAAAGTGATTTACTTGTGTCAGGATTGGAAATGGACTGAAAGCAATGGCAGTTCCTACATAGAGGATGATATAATTGGATTACTGCCTTTTAAGTGATTGAAAACAGTAGGCATATCAGGGCTATCTTGAAGAAGATTTTCCAAAGAAAAAGACAGATGGCATTGTTTACATTATGTGCCGAATGCCTCTTGAAACATTAGACTTTCTTCTGAAGCAGAATGTGAAATGCATAGAGTTTTACTTGACCAAAAGGGCTATTTCATATGAGTACAGCATAACAGAATAACAAATTAGACCGGTGTTGTCTGAGTGATTTAGATACTGGTATATAAACATATTCAGAATCTAGGAATTACTAGTCTATCAAGGTCTGAAAAATAAATTTAATACAGGTGATTGTCTGTATTGTCTCTATTGACTTTATTTCTAGTAAGGGTCTGCTTATAACAGCAGATATTACAGCACATAATAATATCCTGATGCAACAGAAACAATGCAGGCTGTAGTTTTAGCACAGTGGGCCAATTTCACCTCTAAAACATTGGATCCAATGGCAGCTTGGGGATAAACTCACCCCAATAAATTTACATTTGAATTACCTACAGGGATTTAAAGCTAAATCAAATGCCCACAATTATTGCAGACTAAATTCTTTCCAGATGGGTTTGTATGCTAGACAGAGAACTCTATTATTCTATATGGTTGTCTTCTTTTAAAGGAAAAAGAGAGATGACTTCTTAGTGAACCCTGAATCTGCAAAGTTTGAAACCAGGGAACTATGTGGTAGGTTTATTTATTTATTTTATGATGTAGTGTTGCAGATAGTATGCAAAAGGTTTTGGAAGATTAATCTCATTCATCGGCGCAAGAGGCAAAGTTTTTTATGGCAGAGGGAATGTGGAAACTTGGATCAGGGAAAGCAACTAATCTCACAGTCCTCTAGTGCAGCTGAGATTTAATATTCAAAACTGTATGAGCTTATCTTGACTAACCACGTTGGTTGTTTATGCTATAATCACAAAACACCTACTGAATTTTCATTTTAGAGGTTGAGGCTGTGACTCTCATCCTGAGTGCAAAGCACTGAGATTCACACCAGAATTTAGGCACCTGCCCCCACAGTCTCCAGGTGGCTCCTCTTCTTTCCACATACAACACATACTGCATATAAACCTCCAAACAGACTTACAAAATGCAAAAGGCTGAGTGCACCTAAGTGTGCAAAAGGAAACAGGAGAAAAAAAAAGAAGCAGTGTATTTTCTCCACTCAAAAGGCATATCTCTGAGTTATCCTCCAAGCACTGTTTCTTCTACTTAGGAAAACAAGAGCAGTAGTCTTTCCTTCCCCTTGTGTTTCAAAGGAAAAGGGTGTGGTGCCCTCTGCACCATGCTGCAATATTCCATCCTCAGAGAACACCACTTGGAGTCTGGATAAAGAAGAGAGCAGTAGCAATTCATTTAACCTATAAAAATATTTGGATTTTCCCACAAATGTTGGAAAGAGGAGACTAACCTACTCCACCCTTTAAAGACAGAGGTACCTCAGGACTTGATTCCAGCACTGAGACATAGGAGGAAGCAAAACTTTAACAACAAGACTTAAGTGCCTGTGAAATCTAGTTCAAAATGCAGGAGCAAAGCTGGCAATCTGGAATACAGATTCCTTCTTATATCCTTGTTTCCACTGGGTACAAAAGGACTTAAATCTCAAAATATTTCTGAAAATTCTCCTTATGGAAGTATGAACCCTTTAGGTTATCCCAAATATGGTGCTCTGGAGAGTGGATTAATAAAATACATTTTTTTCAAATCCCATAATATTACAAAAACACTACTAAAAGGGAAATACATTATTACCTCTGGCTTTTTAGTTTTGTATGCAACATCAGATATTTCAATGTGGTTTCAAGAATTTATGGAAATAATTTTATAAATTACTGAATAATAAATTAATATTTGCTACTTTATGATTCTATGCTTAATTTCAAAAAATAGCAAGAATATGGTGGAGGGTTTTTTAAAGCTGTCTTTGCTAATTTTTCAGCATTGTTCCACAGTAAACATGTTATCTGAGGAACAAAGTGACTTCCAGTAACTCAATACTCAACTTCTGTCCTGTTTGTTTGAGATCAGAGACTTTTTATCTTATACTGGGACCTAACAATTTTTAATGCGTCTAAGAACTCCACAGTTTCTTCTATTAGCAAGAAATTAGCATTAAACCTTGTTCTGAGAGAGATCACAAGCTGCCAATTGAATAAAGGAAAGATGTCTTCTTTCCATCAAATGTTTTTGTGTGGTCTACCAACAAGTTCAGTCTTCCATGCTGTTCTTCAACTCACAGATATCTTGGAAATACACAGAGGAGGGAAAAGCATGCACATACACACAATATATTACTATGATTAAGTTGTGCAAGGTGTACAACTGGATAATAGTAGGAGATGACAGGCTGGAGAAGAGCAAGTTAGGGACTGAGCTGCTTGAGGAAAAGGATCCATGAGCCAAATGGAAAGGAGAAAACTAAGCTCATATTGGCAAGCATACCCACAGAGAAGATGCTGAGGAAGAACAAATGTGAAGAGAGGTAATAGGAAAAGGAGCTCTGGCTGATCCCAATAATCTGCATTCCAACAGAACCACACTTTGAGCCCAGCCCTGTCAATAAACCTTATTATGAATGAAGCACTTGTCTCCTTTGTCCAAGAAATAAAACAGCAAAATTTGAACCTGAAATCAAGGCATGTGAAAGGCTGAAAGAATTCATCAATTAGAAAGGGTTTAGGGTGCACAGGGAACATCTTACTATTCTGCAGGTTCTAACCTCTTGATTAAACTCTTCACTCTTGCCTCTGCTGGCAACTGATTCTAAAACGAAACTTCTGGTTAGGGATGCTTTGTGTCACAGAGTTCCAAGCTGAGTCTTTGGCCTTGTTTAGCTAACAGTGCCCTGTATGGTGCATGTACAGTGCCCTGGATGTACAGAGTAGCCTCGAAGGACCAAAAAATGGGAAAAATCCTGATGTTACTGACAAATGATTCACTAACACTTTACAGACCAAACCCAAGATTTGCCATGGATTTGAGCTAGGAGAGGGCAGAGAAGAGAGTTGGCTTGGTAAGTAGCTGAGGCTCTGTGTGAGGGTGCTCACTTTCTTTTGCTGTCAACCCAGATTACAGAAATTCTCTCAGGAGATGATAAAGTCCCAGATTACCCTGAACAGGATCTTTAAATCAAGATGAAAGAACAGAGCTTCTTTGGAGGTGGGAGCAGGCATCTCTGATGTAATTTTTTCTGCTCCTTTTCCTATGACTCTACTTCAGCTGTTCATGCACAGCAGCCTGGTGATCACCACAACCCTGATTCTGAATTTGGCAGAAAGGAGATGGAGATGGGAAGCCTACCTTCTCCCTTTGGGACAAAAATGCTTAAGACAATACATTTTGTGTTGGTGAAGGTGTCAAGAAAGCTGATTCAGAAGTAGCTTGCTGGATACCAGGGCATCCAGTATCTATCTCAGATCTATACCATGGCTACAAAGAGGGTGAAGTTTGATGTAAGGGGCAGCCATCCCTTCCAGTGGGCGCCAGGATCAAGCTTCTTTGAAGACAACATATTAAAGTCAAGCTGTGGGGAGAAAGAGCAAGTGGCTGAGCCAGGCACTCAGAATTTTTGTCTTCTGCACAACTAATGTTTCAGGAATGACTACAAGAGGTAAAAAATCCAGAGCAGAGCTGAGAAGCCTCTTATTATTAACTTCTTTTTTTTTACCCCTTGCTATCCAAGGGCTAGGTATGCAGAAAGGTAAGGATATTCCCAGAATCTGCTCCCTGTTCCTGGTGTCATGGGGTTTGCTTTTTTCTACTTTTTTTTCCTTGTTCTTTGAAAGGAAAGGCAATGTCAATTAAAAAAATAAATT